ATTGTCGTAATCAAGTGGCTACATGTAGCTACTTGCGTGTAACCCCGTTACACTATGTTACTAGATACCTGGCACGGTCTAAGTGGAGACTGGAGTAGAGTCGGAGGCGCGCAGAGCAACCGCCGTAGCTTCGTCCACGTCGCTGTCGATGTCGGTAGGAATAGTGACGGGCACTATGAGTTTGATCCTCTCGCGAGGAACTCTGCGGTCAAGGGCGCGGGGCATGTCGCCAATTCGGCAAACGTACTCGGCTGCTATCGTCTTGATGACGGTTACAAATGTGGCCATCGAAGGGTGCGGAGTAGGAAACCTACTGTTTAGCTCTCTATTGAAACGTTCGAGCGGGTTGTTGGTCCTCGCAACGAGCTCGTTGTCGAGACCAAACACGTTCCACACGTCAATCGTGTACTGATCGAGCCACGTCCGCTCGAAATAGCCCCAAAATTCTTCCCATTTTGCTGTAGTGTACTCAGTTTTAGCTAAAATACAGCGCTTCTTGATCTCTCGCTTCACCCACTTGATGCCTCTTTCTACTTGTTCATGGTCAATTACAGTCAGCGTGTCTAACACGCCGCGTGTCATCGCAATTAGACACTCCTCATCAGTTATTGCGTAGCGTTTCATTACACGACGGAGTGCCTGTTTCATGTGGAACAAACACTCCAATACAATAGCGATTGGGAACTGAGTCTGGAGGGCATTCATTAGCGCGACTTCGAAGTCGCAAACAATCTCCACCAGCTCGAGCAGCTGATCCGTAGCTTGGACAACAAGGTTGGCCATGTCTCAATACGCGTCTTCAGTTTTGCAGTACTCAACACGTAAATACTGGCACATTAACACCCGAAGTGCACCATGAATATGTCGCATTGTGCGTACCCCTAGGGTACACAATGAAATTTACCGTCGACAAATAGCGTCGTTCCTTGGTAGCGTAGCAGGGCTACCAGTGCTGGGTGCGTCTTGGTTGCCACGCTCTTTTTGTCTGCTTTTTCGTGTCCGCCTACTACAGCTGAACTTGACCACTCACAACCTTCTCAC